AGTCTAATTCAATTACATCATGTAATGGGAGACAGCTAAAAAATGACAAGTTTTTAAAGTGCTTATATATCAATGCTAGAAGTCTAAATAATAAGATGGGTGAACTAGAGTGCCTCATATTAAATGAGGATATTGATATAATAGGCATCACAAAACTTGGTGGAATGAGAATAATCAATGGGACACAGTAATACCAGGGTACAAAATATATTGGAAGGATAGAACAGGTTGTGCTGGTTGGGGAGTGGTACTATATGTGAAAGAAAGCGTAGAATCAAATGAAGTAAAAATCTTGAATGAACCAAACTGTACCATAGAATCTCTATGGACAGTAATTCCATGATTTAATCATAAGAATATAGCAGTAGGGATATATTACCGACCACCTGACCAGGATGGTGATAGTGACTGTGAAATGCTCAGGGCGATTAGAGAGGCTATTAAAATAAAAAACTCAATAATAATGGGGATTTTCAACTATCCCCATATTGACTGGGTACATATCACCTCAGGACGGGATGCAGAGATAAAGTTTCTTGACACCTTAAATGACTGTTTCTTGGAGCACATAGTCCTGAAACCCACAAGAGGAGAGGCAATTTTTGATTTAGTCCTAAATGGAGCACTGGATCAGGTTCACGAGGTGAATATAGCTGGACAGCTTGGTAATAGTGACCATAATATAGTTAAATTTAACATCCCTATGGCAAGGAAAATACCACAGCAGTCCGACACTGTAGCATTTAATTTCAGAAAGGGGAACTACACAAAAATGAGGAAGTTAGTTAAACAGAAATTAAAAGGTACAGCACCAAAAGTAAAATCCCTGCAAGTTGCATAGAAACTTTTTAAAGACACCACAATAGAGACTCAACTTAAATGTATACCCCACATTAAAAAAACATAGTAAGAGAATCAAAAAAGAGCCACTGTGGCTAAACAACAAGGTAAAAGAAGCAGTGAGAGTCAAAAAGGCATCCTTTAAAAAGTAGAAGTTAAAGCCTAGTGAGGAAAATAGAAAGGAATATAAACTCAGGCAAATGAAGTGTAAAAATATAATCAGGAAGGCCAAAAAAAAAATTTGAAATACAGCTAGCCAAAGACTCAAAAAGTAATAGGATTTTTTTTTTTTTAAAGAACATCAGAAGCAGGAAGTCTGCTAAACAACCAGTGGGGCCACTGGACAATAGAGATGCTAAAGAAGCACTCAAGGTAGTATGATTAGGCCATTGCAGAGAAACTAAATGAAGTATTTGCATCAGTCTTCACAGTTGAGAATGTGAGAGAGATTCCCAAACCTGAGACTTTTTTTTTAGGTGACAAATCTGAGGAACTGTCCCAGATTGAGGTGTCATTAGAGGAGGTTTTGGAACAAATTGATAAACTAAACAGTAATAAGTCACCAGGACCAGATGGTATTCACCCAAGAGTTCTGAAGGAACTCAAATGTGAAATTGCAGGACTACTAACTGTAGTCAGTAACCTATCATTTAAATCAGCTTCTGTACCAAATGATTGGAGGATAGATAATGTGATGCCAATTTTTTAAAAGGGCTCCAGAGTTGACCCCAGCATTTACAGGCTGGTAAGCCTGACTTCAGTACTGGGCAAACTGATTGAAACTATAGTAAAGAACAATATTGTCAGACACATAGATGAACATAATTTGTTGGGGAATAGTCAACATGGTTTTTGTAAAGGGAAATCATGCCTCACCAATCTACTAGAATTCTTTGAGGGGATCAACAAGCATGTGGACAAGGGGATCCACTGGATTTAGTGTATTTAGATTTTCAGAAAGCCTTTGACAAGGTCCCTCACCAAAGGCTCTTAAGCAAAGTAAGCAGTCATGGGATAAGAGGGAAAGTGCTCTCATGGATTGGTAACTGGTTAAAAGATAGGAAACAAAGGCTAGGAATAAATGGTCGGTTTTCAGAATGGAGAGAGGTAAATAGTGGTGTCCTCCAGGGGTCTGTACTGGGCCCAGTCCTATTTAACATATTCATAAATGATCTGGAGAAAGGGGTAAACAGTGAGGTGGCAAAATTTGCAGATGTTACAAAACTACTCAAGACAGTTAAGTCCCAGTCAGACTGCGAAGCGCTACAAAAAGATCTCTCAAAACTGGGTGACTGGGCAACAAAATGGCAGATGAAATTCAGTGTTGATAAATGCAAAGTAATGCACATTGGAAAACATAATCCCAATTATACATATAAAATGATGGGGTCTAAATTAGCTGTTACCACTCAAGAAAGAGATCTTGGAGTCATTGTGGATAGTTCTCTGAAAACATCCACTCAATGTGCAGCAGCAGTCAAAAAAATGAACAGAATGTTGGGAATCATTAAGAAAGGGATAGATAATAAGACAGAAAATATCATATTGCATCTATATAAATACATGGTATGCCCACATCTTGAATACTGCGTGCAGATGTGGTCGCCCCATCTCAAAAAATATATATTGGAATTGGAAAAGGTTCAGAAAAGGGCAACAAAAATGATTAGGGGTATGCAATGGCTGCCGTATGAGGAGAGATTAATAAGACTGGGACTTTTCAGCTTGGAAAAGAGACGACTAAGGGGGTGATATGCTAGAGGGCTATAAAATCATGACTGATATGGAGAAAGTAAATAAGGAAGTGTTATTTATTCCTTCCCATAACACAAGAACTAGGGGTCACCAAATGAAATTAATAGGCAGCAGGTTTAAAACAAATAAAAGGAAGTATTTTTTCACACAATGCACAGTCAACCTGTGGAACTCCTTGCCAGAAGATGTTGTGAAGTCCAAGACTATAACAGAGTTAAAAAAAGAACTAGATAAAATCATGCAGGATAGGTCCGTCAATGGCTATTAACCAGGATGGGCAGGGATGGTATCCCTAGCCTCTGGCCTGGTCTACACTACGACTTTAATTCGGATTTAGCTGCGTTAATCCGAATTAACCCTTCACCCGTCCACACTACAGAGCCAGTTAATTCGAATTAAAGGGCACTTAAAATCGATTTCTGTACTCCACCTCGACGAGCGGAGTAGCGCCAAAATCGATTTTGTTAATTCGAATTAGGGTTAGTGTGGCCGCACACCACCGAATTAATGTGGTTAAATTAATGGGGTAGTGTGGCCGCACACCACCGAATTAATGTGGTTAAAAAACGAATTAATGTGCTTAGTGTGGCCGCACACAATCGAATTTATACAACCTGTTTCCCAAATTCGAATTATCTAAATTCGGATTAATCCCGTAGTGTAGACATACCCTCTGTTTGCCAGAAGCTGGGAATGGGCGACAGGGGATGGATCACTTGATGATTACCTGTTTTGTTCATTCCCTCTGGGGCACCTGGCATTGGCCACTGTCGGAAGACAGGATACTGGGCGAGATGGACCTTTGGTCTGACCTAGTATGGCCGTTCTTATGTTCTTAAGAGTAGTCCCATTGATTTAAGTTGGACTACACACGTGCTTAGACCCAAATCCTCAATGTATTTAGATGCCTAACTTCCACTGATCTGAATGGGAGTAAGGAGCCTACATACATCTGGGGATCTGGGCCAAAGTGCTTTGCTGGATTGAGCCCACAGTGAAAGACTGTCCTAACCCCAAACAGCTTACAATGTAAGAGAGCTAAGTGTTATTACTGTGTATCTCTTTACAACCTCTCCAGAAGTCTCAGCAGAAGCCAAGCCCTGTCCTGTTGAGTCAGGAGGCTCAGATCAAATTGAGATTTGGAGTGGGCAGGGAGTGGGGAGGAGAATAATGGCACAAATACAAGCAGAGCTATGCCAATACTGAGCACTTTTGAAAATCCCCTCCTAAGGGCTGAAGCAGAACTGATATGATGCATTAGCTCTGCACTGGAGTGAATTTCACTGTGTGAACATTCCAAACACTGCATGGAGCTAATTGCATGCAGTCTTCCTTAAGCTATATGCAACAGGATCGTATTCTATAACAAAGAATATATATTAGATCTAAGGGCCAGATTTTCAAAAGTACCCAGCATGCAGCAATTCCCATTCTTTGCAATGAGAGCTGCTGGCTGCTGAGCAGTTTTAAATCTCTCTCCCCCAGTTGTGGGCAGGGCCGGCTCTAGGCACCAGCAAAACAAGCTGGTGCTTGGGGCGGCACGTTTTTAGGGGCGGCATGGCCGGCGCCAGAATGCCACCCCTAAAAATGTGCTCTGGCCGCCCTAGCTTACCTCCGCTGCTGCTGCCTGGGAGGGAGGGGGAGATCCCGAGCGGCCGCGGCGCGCGAAACAGGTGTTTCGCGCGCCGCTGCTCCCCCTCCCTCCCAGGCTTGAGAGCCTGGGAGGGAGGGGGAGAAGCGGCGCCCGCGCCGCGGCCACTCGGAGTCTCCCCCTCCCTCCCAGGCTCTCAAACCTGGGAGGGAGGGAGGGGGAGATCCCGAACAGCCGTTTCGCGCGCTGCTGCTCCCCCTCCCTCCCAGGCTTGAGAGCCTGGGGGGAGGAGGCAGGGCTGGGGATTTGGGGAAGGGGCGGAGTTGAGGCGGGGCCGGGGGTGGGGTAATTAAAAAACGGGGGGGGCGGCCAAAATTATTTTTGCTTAGGGCGGCAAAAATCCAAGAGCCGGCCCTGGTTGTGGGTGCTGTGGAAATTGAGCAAAGCTGGCCCTAGAATGTGCAGTTTTGAAAGTGCATTTTTTTTTAAACAAGGCAGGCCATAAAAAAGTAGAAAATAGAAAATCCACCATTTTTGCTTTATGAAGATATCAAAAGAGTACAATTCCAAAATACACAGTGCTGAACATTTTCATTTGATTCCATTCCAAGATTGTGAAGTAGGATTAAAGCTACCTTTCTGCTAAATATTCTGCCTTCCTTTCTGCCAAACATTTTTTTCTAATCACATTACTTTACTCTGATTTACACGAGTTTTAGCTTCAAGAATCAATGGCCATTGCTGAATGCAAATAGGCACACAGGAAAATTATATTAAGTTTGCACAATTGATCTTTCATCATTTAAAAATGTACCTTTTAAAATTTCTTGTAATGTCAGCCTGAAATACTTCCAGCGCTGAGTGTCATCAAGTGGAGCTGGGTCACTCTGGGAAAACCCATTCTCAGTGATGTAAATTATAGGATTATTATATGTATCCTAGAACAAGAGAGCAGAAGTTTTATTCAGAACAGATGTAAGAAAACCCATAAAATCAGGTGCATTAGCCTCTATCTTCTCTAAGCTACAACCCAAAACTAGTTTTCATCAAATTGTACTGACCCTATTAACTTAATTTTCCATGTGCTGACCTTTCATGACTAACAGTGGAAAAGCAAAACTGTGCAAATATCCATGAAGACAGTGAAATGACTTATTTTAATAAGAATACAGAAATATCTTTCCTGCATTAGCATCTGCGTATTGTCACTGCTCCTTAACCCTTTGATACTAGCAGTCACAGCATGTCCCACTGTCAGCAATGAGTTGCATGCCAGGAAAACCTGACTGCTGGCATCCAAAAGATCATTTCTGAAGTTCAACAGATGATAGAACACTCACGTATCATTTCAAATTGTAACTCATGCTCAATATGAGTTGTCAAGTATAATAGCAACAAAAAAAACCCAAAGTCTTCAACTCTCTCAGTGGTTATGATGCAAAAATGAAACAAAGAATCCCAAGTCAACTTGTTTACACTCTTGCACGGTGCCTTTTGCTACCGCATGTGAGTGCCTCCCAATAACTGAGTCACCCATATTGCACTGCACAAATCCTTTTCCTTGGTGGTGGTTAGCTAACTAAAAATCTGGATGATCAAGTGAGCCTCACGCCATACCTTGATATATTTCAGTAATCTACGTAAACCCCAGGGAACTACAGCCAGCCATGAGCTGCCAGCAGCAAAAGGCCAGGAATGGTCCATTATTTGTTCAGCTTCTCTGTCCCCAGAAACACTTGGTTCACTGCGTGTATTTTCTTGGTGCTTTACTTTGCGAGTAGTATAATAATTTAGGGCAAAAAAGTCAGCAGTTCCCTTGATCATCTTCTTTTCTTCCTCAGTAAATTCTGGAAGCCTTGATGATACGTAGCCTTGCTTTGTACTCATTACAGAGATCTGGGATTTCATGATGGCTGGATAGTCACCACTAATAAATATGGGTTCAGCAAACCAGTCTAAGCAAAAAGCCATATATCTTTTAGTAGCTTCTTGGTCTGCCAGACAAGTTGAATCTAGGGGTTCTGCCCAATCTGAGTTTAGAGCTATAGACACAAGCCCGTGTTGCTTTTTTCTAAATAACAAATCATAACTGTGCCAGGCTTTAGCATGAGCCTTTATCATGTTATGAGCTGTCCGATAAGCTCCAATACCAGGTTCCATTATTCCTGGAGCCACAATGCCTTTTTCATAGCCATCTTTAGCAACAACATAAGGCTCATTAATAGTGACCCACAGTTTCACTCGGTTTCCAAATGTTCTGAAGCAAAACTGTGCATAGTTGTCAAAGACCTCAGTGATTGCATCAGAGCTCCAGCCACCTTGATCTTCTAAATGTTGAGGTAAATCAAAGTGATATAATGTCACCATGGGCACAATGCCATTTGCCAACAGATCATCAATAATCTTGTCATAGTAATCAACTCCTGAAAAAGTTAAAAGAAAAAAGGTTGGGTTCATATTTTATTACCTTAAAAATGCAGAAACCTCACTTACAAATAATAATGTTATTACCACAGCATTGTTTTTCTCTGTCTCTGTATTATGTATCATCTCAAAGGTGTATGCTAAATCTATTTTAAAACGGTAGGGACAGATTTTCAGAAGTTGTGTGCACCCAACAGCTGCTATTTAGGCACCAAAAGGGACCATGTTTTCAGAAATAATCAGTGCACAGGAGCTTCCACTGAGAACAGCGGGAGCTGCTGGATGCTTATCACATTTGAAAATTTGGTCTCTTCATTTAGTGGCTGAATGGGAGCTAAGCTCTCAAAAATCTGGCCCTAAATGTGGGAGCTGAGCTCTTTTGAAAAGTGTACTCCCAATGTATAGCTTGATCAATACCAAAGCTAGGTCTAATGGAGGGATTTTTCTCCCGGAGAACTGTACAGCCACTAAAAAGCAAGCAGTGCAATATTCACCAAGATCAAGGCACATAGTAACCGGTTTGTATTTTATGATTTGCACCTGGTCAGTAGGGTGAGCCATTTCCTGTTGGATGTGGGCCTTGCTATTTTTATCCCTGACTTTCTCAACTCCAGATTAGCCAATTGCAATGAATTCTAACACTTACAAGTATCTGGAGACTGAAGCTGGGGCAGCATGCAGCAGTTCCCTCTCTAGCTTGGGCATCTTGTCAGGCCTATCTGACATTTGGTGCTTTTCATTGGTTACTATTGGTCTCTAGATGGTCTTGGTCTTGAGCTACCACACTTAAGTGGCTTGGGACCACCCCACTTGAGAGACTAACTCCCTCCTTGTGACACTGCCACAGCTGCAGACAGCAGAGGCACTCAAGCTAGATCCCTCTGGTTATAAAAGAGAGGGGACAGCCAGTTTGTCATTCGCTATGAGGATCCTGGCACTCTGAACCTTTCCCCCACCACTGAACTCGCGTGAACTTGATCACCTGGGAAAGCAACAAAAGGCATTTATTTGACAGGCTTTTAGGGGCAAAGCTTGAGAGGATATTTCTGGAGGGCGAATGGGGATTTTCAGTTACTGGGCTTTATCAGCTGGCTAAGTTAACGTGTCTCCTGTATGATTATTTTTATGCAACTGGGTGGTCATTGTAAATTAAAGTTGCTGCCCAGGCACTTGGTGCTTTTGTATGGGCATTTTTTTTAGTTTTGTTTAAATATAAATAAATAAAACTAAATAGATTTTTTCAAGCCTCCTTAGAATGCTGGGTCTTGCATCATATGCAAAATATGGTGTTACTTTTTCAGACGTGGGCTAACAGTTAGCTTGCTCCTTCACAAGAACCATCTGACTTTAGACTTTCCCAATTGCCTTCCTACTAATAATATGAACTTTGAATTATTATTTATATTACAGTTAAACTGAAAGGGTCCAGTCAGGACAGAGGGTGCCTTATGCGGGTGCCATACAGACAAAAGGCAGAACTTGCCTCAGAGACTTGGATTCACTTTTGAAAATTGCCTAAGTGACTTAGGAACTGGTGTTCCATTTTCAAAAGCGATTTAGGCACCTACGTGTCATTAAGACATCAGCTCCTAAATCTCTTTTGAAAATGGGACTTAGGCCCTGGGACAAGACTTGACAGTTTGAAGACTTGAACACAATGGAGGAAAGGAGCGGACAACAATAAGGTTGCATATATTAGCTAAGTATATGATTTGGAGACTTCATAGAGTTTTGTTTTGTTTTTAATATAGTAACAGGAGATGTTAATGAATCACTAACAGGCCACCTGTATTAGTGAGTGAATGGGTTGGTACTATGCTAACTACTTCTTTGCACTGGTTTTCGGAATCAGTGTGTGCTAACGTTTAAAAAAAATGCAGACACAGATGCCCTGGTCTACATTGTCATTGTCAGTGTTAGCCCTTAAAATTATCCTGCTTTCACAGTTATACCATATGGTTGGTCTTGTCTCAAGGATTCTACTCATACTGTTTTTTAATCCAACATCTGATGCAGCAATAAACTGAGAACCCCAGACTTAGTGTGCATCTTCTTGCAAGCAGACCAGTGCCTGCACATTCACTATCACAGCAAGATTTGATGGGCTTGTTTACAATAAGCTTGGCAGGCAGATTGTTTTTCCTCTCTAGCTGCAACCCCATAAGAATTTGGGGAGATGCATGTGTCTGTCTGGGGGCAGAATTCATCAAAATGTTCCTTTAATTCTTGAAAAAATAATTTCAAAGTTCAAATTTACAATCAATTAGGGCCAGATTGTGAATCCTTTACTCCCACTGGTGACAGTGACTCACATGGCTTCAACGGGGCTAATCATGTGGGTTTCTCTGGTGGGAGTAAGTGTTTTCTACATCTAGCCCTTAGTTGGCAAAACAGAAGTCCTTTGTTGGTACAGCATCCTCTTTTTAACGCTGACAGCAAAACTCCCTAGAAATTGATAAGAGGTGGCCTGTGTAATTTTACAGATTACTCAGTAGAATTTGGGAAATTTAAAAGCGATCAAATATCCATTTTCCAGATTTCAATTAATTATTGAAAACGGCTTATAATCTTGTGTGATTCAGAAAGAGAAATGCAGCTATATCACTGGAAATCATCGGTGTCATAAAAATATCTGGTGACCTGATAATGCTAAAACTGGGATGACTCTATTTTTACATTTGTACCTATGGATCAGTTAAAAGAGCAAAGAAGGGCAGCATATAGAGTTCTGGCAATTTGTGTGTATGTGTTCGAAGGGGTGACCGCATCTTTGGGATGTTCTAGTAAGGACCAATTAGCAGCAGGAGGTGGGGAGGAAAATGCACTTCATATCACCAGCTGGATGGGAAAGGAATAGGTTAAGGCCCGGAGGAGAGTCAGAGTGCGTCACTGGAGCTGGTATGGATTGCCATGTGATTCTGAGATTGGGGGCAGTACCCATTCTGCCAGGGATACAGGCCCCACTTCTCTCTTCTTTTCTGCCTCCTTCTCTAATGTTGAAGTCAGGCACAGAAGAGAATTATGTTCTGGGTCCAATAAACCACACACGCTGTCTGCCAGTTCTGGCTCCCTCCTCACTGCAATCTGCAGCTAATACACAACACTCCTTGGAGGACACAGGGCATAGAGAATTGTAAAACAAAACAAAAACCAGCCACTACATAAAAAACAAAATAAACTCACAGTAGGTTTAAACCTGACATTTGATAGGAGTAAAACCCCTACAACATTGCTCCTTTAGAAGAAAACCCCCTTACAATTGGAAAACAAATGTTAAAGGTTTTTCCAAATGTCCCATGTTTTAGGTGTGAAATTGGTAGTGAATCAGTTCGTGTGAATGGTTTTTATTTGAAAGGACATTGCTTTAAGGTTTCTAATTCTTCACATGCTCTTTGTAGAAATGTTTATACAGAAGATAGTGGCCTTTCCATGATATGCAGCTACAATTGCTTCAACAGATCACTGCACAGGACAAGTGAGCTCCTGCCTAATGAAACGCCCTTCCAGTGCCCTTTCGCTAAATGTAAAGTTCATAAAATTAATCAGGCAGCTGTTTAAAAGAGGGATCAAGTGAACATTTTCAAAAATGTTAGTTGAATTTGGTCAAAATGTTGCTAGCTTTTTTTCTTACCAACTCTATGGCTGTTCACTATCTCCCACCCTCTCTTCTAAATAACAAAGCCTGTTCAACAGGCAGCTCTGTGGCATATGAATAGCGCCTGTAGTGCTACCTGAAATATATTGTGTTCTGGGGGGAAAAAACTAAGGATACTCAGTCAAATTTAATTTCCATACACCACAAAAAGCATCCAAACTAAAGGGCGAATCCTGCCCCGTAGCACAGGCTTCATGCTTAGAAATTCTGGTGGTGGTGGGAAGGAATCTTCCCATCCCTTTCCCATTCAGCTGATGACATGAAGTGCATTTTCCTCCCCTCCTCCTGCTGCCAAACTGGTCCTTATTAGAACACCCCAAAGATGTGGTTTCTCCTCGGATGGCTGGAGTTACTCCTGCATCATGCTGTGAAGAAGGAAATGGCTGGTTGGTCTGCTGTCTATGGATGCATCAACCCACTCTCATGGCTCCTGCATGTCCACCATCTCCTTATGGCAGAAGCTGTGATCTGCAGAATGCAAGAGGTGAGTAGTGGTCTGCATGGGCAACCCAAATTCTGCAACCTGAACACTCTTAGCAGAACATTATTGGCTCTGTGTGTATGGATCTGCACAGCCCTGGAGTGGGGAATTTGCTAATAAATTTCCCCCCTCATTCTATTTCCAGCCCTTCCCTGTCTTGAACTGGGAGAGGAAAGAACACCCAGGATAAAGGCTGCCCCAAGAGCACAAAAATTGACATCTTCCCAGAAGGAGTGGGGAGTCCAGGTAGCAACAAGGAAGGGGTGAGGAACGCTTCAGACACAGCTATCATCCAATTCTATTTCCTTTTTATTTTGTTAGGGACGTTTTCCTTCTGCTGATGGCTGTTTGTTCAGACCCCTCCTCTTACTCTGTTCCTCACAGTCTCTCTGATGTAGCTTCACTCCCCCTAGTCTTCGCAGTCTCCTCCAATCCTCCTCACCCTGTTTCCTTTTCCTATGCACTTAATATTGCCTTTCCCTTCCTTTGCTTATTAACTCAGCCATGACCTTTTCCCCTTGCCGATTCTCTCTGAAATTAAAAAGCAGAACAAATGTGAAACCAACATATTTGCCAACCATCAATTTGATCAGTCTTTGTATATGTTGCATCTCTTTTCTCCCACCCTATTCCTGTCCTGCCGTCTTACACTATATAGTCTCCTTGGAGCTCTTTGTAGTCTCTTTTTCTCATGTGTGTTTGTACAGCACCTAGCACAATGCCTACCCTGTCCTGAATGAACCTACAGCCATTACTGGAAAACAAATAATAAAAATGAACTGTGAGATCCCCTCTCATTGGCCAGCTAAGGAGTATATTGCTTGAGTACCTGCAGAAAAGTCTGTCCTACTTAGACAATGTATGCTATTCAGTGTGCAATTCAGAATGTCAGTAGATTATGCTGATACACTATCCACATGCATTTGCCAATACTGTCAAATATAAGATTGACTGATTTTGTTTACTTATATTCCATAAGAAACTTTTCCTCTTATTTGCTTAGCAAGTTCTGCAGGGGTTCATTGTAACTTTACACAATCCCATGAAATAGAACAATTTATAATCACTTTTTAAAAAATTTAGAACAGGCAAAAAATACATGGTAGAGAACATAATACTCATCCCATCCCAAAAGATCACGATATCCAAGGGGATCTAGAGTATTAATTAGGAAGTTGTTGCAAACCTATAAAAAATCATCCCATAATTACTCTGAAAAAAAGTTGCAATTTCAAAGCTACACTGCAGAATAGCATACTGGATTAATTATGCCAGACTGCAGCAATAACCTTGAATTAAAGCTGCAACCTTCTATTTTTAAGAAACAATTGCCTTTCTGGTTGATGAAACCTGTCGTCCCATCAGGTAACAGACGTGACCAGGAAAGAGAAAAGCGATAATGAGTCAATCCAAGCTGTTTGATACATTTCAAATCTTCCTCCCACAGAGTGTAGCTGCCACAAGCTACATCACCAGTCTGGTTCTTGAAAACTCGATCTCCTCCCTGATGGGTGAATGTGTCCCAAACATTAGGGCCCTTTCCATCTGCATTCCAGCCTCCTGATTAAAAACAAAACTGAATCATTACACTTTTGACATCAAAAGACATATGTTGAATGTAAATATTTATCACATAAAGTAGACACAAGAATCTCAGTAACTTGTAAGCAAATCAAGCAGGGCTTTCTCCAGTTCTTTCACTTAAAATGAATAGTTTTTTCTCAAGCTATAGAACATTTGTATTAAGTTCTGCATTTATTCATGGTTTTGTCACTGCTCACTATTTGAAAAATCTGTTTCAAACAGCACTTACAGAGGTTCTGACACACTGCATATTATTTTTAGCCAAAGATCAGATGCTTGTGAATCTTCTGAGATATTAACAAAAAGTATTTGCTAATGCAACTTCCACCCATGAATGTAAAAGATCTGTCCATATCAAAGAAAGCCTTTAGGATATGAAAAATACATCCAACAAATAGGCACTTATGGCTTTCTGGATGTCCTTTGAAAGTCCTGACAGTCTGTTAAGAAGAAAGGAATGCCATTATGAGCCATGGCCCTAGGCATGTATAACATGAATTAATAACAAAGCTCTGTGAAACTTCTGCCTTTTGCTTAGACAAACGTTCACGGAAAAACTGCAAAGATTTCCACTAAACTAAATTTTACACTAAACGTTCACAATCTCTGCACCATTTTCTGCATCCTGATTATGCTGGGATATTTTGTAGTGCTTTTGAAAACTGAGGTACAGAAATCACCATTAAAAATTCAGTATTTAGCCATATTTTGAGATCTGAGATACCATGGTGTATAAACTGAGTAAATGCAGATTTCTTTATGACAATCATTGCAGTCTTTGCAAAACCATGTTGTAATATGTGCAAATGTTTAACGTGAAAAGTCCTGGAAATCCCCATCCCTGCAACACAAATCACAAAACTCAGAATATGCCAAAATTCTCCAGTTTCCTTTACAAGCAAAATTTTTCAAAGCTCCAGTTAATGCATGTTTCCTGGGTTACTGTCTAAAAACTAAAATGACATTGTAGGTTAAAATCATGTATAAATTAAATATCAGTTGGCTGTAAGATTAATACCTATATAATAGCTACATATCAATCCTCAGTAAAAGTGTTTTAATAATCAATTAGTATCATAGAAATTAGAGATGGAAGAGCCCTATTAGGAGGTCATCCAGTCCATCCCCTGCCAATGTGAGATTGCTCCCTAAAGTAGATTCAGTACTTAATGCACATCTGTCTTGTTAAATTTAAGTTTAATGCAAGGTTAAGCATATTGCAGACACTTAATTTAAAGCGTTACTAGAATCTGTAATATCATTTCTATAGCCTAGTTTCTGAAAGATCATTGTCATATTTCATGTTCTTTACGGAATTTTGTAACAGCACACAAGCACCAATACGGCTACATAAGGTTATTCAGTAAATTGAGCTCTTCTATGGGACAGCCTTCACACTAGGTCCATTTTTAGATCTAACAACTCTGAGTGTCCCTTAAGGTTCAAGTTTTCCTACAACACAATGACTCAGTGCTGCAGTATTCTCAGATATATACAGTACTGACAGTTTTCCATGGGTAGTATTTGACTTTAGTAGTTACATTTTAAGTAAAGATTCAAGTTATTCTCGCAGGAAAACACTCAAAGTAAAGAGTAATTATTTTGTATTATTTAAGGGATTTAGAGTATTTAAAAGGCAGATTCTGTTTGCCCAAAACCAGATTCAAGGTGCCCAGTTCTGGGCCATAGCATGGCCCCTTTGCAGTGCTCTTCTTGGCAGCTAAGAATTCCCCTGGCATGTAGGAATCCCCAACTGGCACAAACTCTACCACCTTCTTTATCCGGTCTACTCAGCAAATGGGAGAGTGCCAGGGATTGGATGGGATAAGGCAGAAGCACCTTGGTGGTTCTCAGCCAGTGTTAGCATCCCAGAGTGGGCTGCTACAAACTAGCTGTTTGAGGCCACTATAAGATACGCCGGGGCTGAACTGGCCTCCAGGCCAGCTTCAGGACTGAGCAAGAGCAAAGGTCAGGATCTGGTCATACATTTCAGCTATTGTACACACACTTGATTGGCCAAATCACTCTAGACTATATTAATATGCCCTCAAATATTTAAAATAATGATTATAGACCATTTATATTTCAATGCACATACCTCAGTCTTTACAATTATTAAAATGGAATGCATTGGAGTAGTTCTCTTTTAAAAATTAAGTTACAGCAGGAATATCAGTGCCCACTATTTTTAAGGTTTTATGTGCTTTTCCAGACTAATCTCTTTGCACTCAAGTGTACCTTTCTAAAACCTTCACCTTTTGGGCTGAAGTTTTCTAGACTTGGTCTCCACCCAAAGGTGAATATCTGCTTAGTATAGCTCAACTCGCTCATACAGAGTGAGTGAAGAAAATATGTTTTTACCATTACTAAAAATTCTTGCAATTTCTCTCTCTCTTTTTTTAAGAGCTCTAGTACAGAGTTGAAATTTAGCATAGAAATGGCCCTCGTAAGGAGAAGTGCCTTGGAGTGTTCTGGTGAAAATTGATTTTGATTTGACTGAGTCATGCACCTTTGAAAGCTGCATTTTGAGCATACAGAGTACAATTGGTATGATTTTTTTAGCACTTTGAAATATATTGAGTGAAGTAGGCTGAACTGTGCATAAATACATAGCTGACAGTGAAAAATAAAGTACACTCTGAGACCTCACCTCATTCACTGTGCAACTTGTGATATGTGCAACAGTTGAGTTGGGACTCCACAAGAACTCTTGACTCAGTCACACTGCCTTGTCAGGTAAAAGCTGCACAGCTCCTAGGCTTTGAAGACTGAGTTAACCCCTGTGGACCTCTTCGGTTTTGTGGGGATAGGGTATTTCCTATAGTGTCTAGCTGAATATTTTCACATTATAGATTTTTTAAAAATATTTTTTAATAAAACCCTGGGAATTTCCATCAAAAATTATAGAGAACATTAAAGTTGCTCATTGTCAAGGCTGGGTCATGGGCAGCCAGCCTGAATCTGGAGGATGTCAAAAGTGATCACTCTTCTAAAATCCGAAAAGGACCCACACAATGCAGCAAGCTACCAACCAATCTTTCTGCTATCTGTCATCTTTAAAGTCCTGGAGCAGCTTATCCTCCAGCGTATGTCTCCTCCAGCGTATATCTCAGTGTCAATCAAGCTGGCTTCCAGAAGAGTCAAAGCATATGTGACCAAGTCCTAGGCCTCACTACATATATAGAAAATGGGTTTCAACAGAACTTGAAGACAGGAGCTGTTTTCTTGGACCTGACAGAGGTCTACGATACAGTATGGCACACTGGACTTCTGGTAAAACTGTTAGGAGTTCTTCCAGCATGGGTGGTGGACTTTGTTGAACTTCTACTTTGTGACAGTCATTTTCTGGTACATATGGGAGACAGAACAAATGCATGGAGAAGATAATCCAATGGCTTACCCCAATGCTTCGTGCTTGTGCCCACCCTGTTCAGTCTGTACACATATGACCTGCCACTGACTCAGTCATGCAAGTTTATCTATGCAGATGACATCTGCTGTGGTACCCAGTCATTCTCTTTCACCAAATTGGAGAACATCTTGAACACCGATTTAGCCAAGATGGCAGCTTACTGAAGCAGTTGATGCCTCCAATGAGGTATGACCATGACAGTTTTGAGCATTTTCCAACTCCACAACACAAGCACTAAAGGTGAGTTAGATGTCTTCCTTAATGGCAAACAACTGAAACATGAGGCAAAACCTGTCTACCTTGGTGTCACATTGGACTGCACTTTGACTTTCCATGACCATCTAAAAAACACTGCTGCCAAAGTCAGGACTAGGAATAATCGAATCAGCAAATTAGCCAGTTCGATCTGGGACACAGGCACACAGACACTTCACACATCAGCTCTGGCACTGTGTTATTTCTCAGCAGAATACTGTGCCCCTGTGTGGTGTTGTTCACCTCACAGTAAATTGGTTGATGTCAAATTGAGCTTGACCAGGCATACCATCACAGGTTCCGTACCAGTTCTGAGCAACAGAGCCCCTCCACACATTCGTCGCAGAGAGTCTACAGCCAGACTGGTGGAGAAGCTGCGTGCCAACCCAGGACTCCCACTGTACACAGACATTTTTAGTCACCCCAGAGGACAACTTAAGTTGAGGTGTCCATTGTTCTCTCAACTGCCAGATCAGAATCTGTCAACAGCAACCCTATGGAGCAGTGAGTGGTCAGCTGAAGAAGTTTCCTTGTTGCTGATCTGACCATTTGACCGCTGGGGATTTGACCTGCCACATTACCTTTGGACTCTGCTGAACAGGTTCTGAACTGGTGAAGGAATATGCGCAGCCAATATCTACACCTGGGGTATGCGTGACGACCCACTTTGTCAATGTGGCCTTCATCAGTCTATGGTGCATGTTATCGACTAAATTTCATGTGCGAGTGTCATTCCATATTCTTTATGAGAATATGCTTATGATATGAATATGCCATAACTAAGATATACTTCATGCAAGATGGCTCATGTGAGATATCATTGGAAAGGTTATGATTTACTGAATGCGATTATCCAGTTTGTATGCCTGCATCTGAAGTTAGGAATATTGACTATGTATCTGTATTTCAACTATGCTACGTTGGGTGATGCCCACTGCTAACACTTCAGGTACAACAATGGAAAAGCCAGACAGGCCGGATGGCCCATCAGCGAGGACAATGGACTGTGAAAAGCTTGGCCTTTCTGTGGACACGCCATACTGCCACTGACTCATGGACACTGTGATCCTACAGAGTCAGGTGGTCTTGCCACCTGATACTAAAACATTACCTGGGACTTCTTGTAACTTTCCACTGTAAGGAAAGGGAGGTCAAGTCTGGGAAACTATTTCAGGGTTGGGAGGAAGGCAAACAGGACTCTTCCTCTCTATGGCCTGTCTGCCCAAGAAGAAAGACTGCAAAAGGAAAGGCGAGGGGGGAGTCCAGACTGAAACAGAGGTCTAATCTGAAAAGGAATATAACTGTAACTCTGAACCACAGAAACTTTGCAAACTGCCTGTAACAATATCTAGGGTGAGAAATACTATTTGTAACCAATTTCTTTAGTGAAACTAGCTTAGTTTGCGTGTTTGAGTTTATTTGCTTAGAAATCTGCTTTGCTCTGTTTGTTACCCATTTTACCACTTAAAATCTACCTTTTATAGTTAATAACATTTGTTTTGTTTATTATTAAACTCAGTTTCTGTAATTTCTGACTGGGGGGTAAGAAGTGTGCACACCTCTCTCCACATTGAGGGAGCGGGCGAATTTCATAATACATCTTTGGGTCTGCACTCCAAGGGAGGTGGACATCTGAGTGCTGGAGCAAGTCCCTTAAGCTGAGTCTTCCCAAAGCTGATCTGCAGCTGGGTGTGGGCCTGCCTGTGTGTGTGTTAGAGGAGGTTTTAAGAGCCTGGCTCAGGTTAAAGGGGGCCCATGCTGGCAGAAGAGGTAGACTCAGTGGTATCTCAGCATATCAGGTGGCTTCCCAAGGAGTCCAACCCGTCACATCATGGTGGCCTTAGGGCCCTTCATTCTGCAGATGAAGCCTCTTCCGGGTGGCTTAGCAAGCACTACAAATGCTAGAAGAAGAAAAAGCCAGCCTAGTGGATAAAGACAGGGCAAAACATCAGGAATCAGAGTCATTTGTCAATCTAGAGTCAAGTAACCAGGAGTAAGAAGCAGAAGGCAAAACCAAATCATAAACTTGGTATCAGAGCCAGGAGATAAATGCTGGGGTCAGGACCAGGACCAGCATAAGAAAACAGGATCTGTAGCAGCATCTAGCTGGAGTTCCACTTAGTTGACAGACAACTTTCTTGTATCTTTTCCAGATTAAAGTAGTATGTCCAGATCAATCAGGAATTAGCAATGTCCTGTCAATGGCGCCCTCCATGGGTGGTAAATTCTGCAGTGTATGTGGGCCTCTGATGCTCATGATTCACCAAGTGTTTCTTATGCCATGCATGGCACCAGTTGCCACCCAAGGAATCTGCAGACCCAGTGCTGCTCCAATACTCATCTAGCCACTCAAAAGGCAGGATGTGATATATTACTAAGCTTCCATGTGAATTTCAGCCCAGAGAATAAAGGAGTAGTTCCTACACTCCCCCAGGGCCCATGGAAGCTGTCCTCAGCAGGAGAAAATGGGTAAGAAAGAGACAGCAGGCTGGGCTTCCCCGAGTTCCCCACCACCTCAAACCTGCAGGTAAAGCTGAATTTATGCTGTTTCCCCCTCTGTGGTTTGAGACCTGCCCCTCTTGAGGGATACGAAAAGGATTTAGAATTAGGCCCCAAGGATGGTGTTTAAAACCTGATATTGTATTTCCTGGGTTTTAGAGAGTGAAGAGGTCATAGTTCCCCAATCTCCTTCCCTCCATTGCTCCAAGTTTTGATTATCACTCTCTGGTCTTCAAGGGTTCCCCCACAGCCTTTCCTCCAGTTGCCCCAGTCAGATCACTTGCCTGAGGCTCTTCCAAATCCCTGAAGTGTTGTTATCTTCTCATCAACCTGCTTTCTACTGTCTCCTTCCACCTATCTCTACAGGGACACTGTCTCTCTCCAAACCCCACTGCCTCCAATACCCACCTCATATACTCCAAACCTGCTCCCCTAGCCTCCTCTGTACACATCATTCTCACTAACACTGGATTCCATGTGCCCCCAACTTCCCCATGGTGCCAACTAACAAACACTTGCTGGGCCCTTCTACTTTACACTGCTCCCTCATCCATAAGCCAACAACTGCTTTGGCTCTGGTGTCCCTACCCTGCTGGTCTCCCAAGCCCCAGCTACACCCACAAACATGTGGGAGGTCTGGGAGCCTTATCCCATATCCTCTCACAATCTCATGGAATGGTCAGTGACCTACCCTCCATCTGTTCATGGGGATTCACCAGAGATGATCACCGTCATTCAGTCCTCTGAATAGGTACTATAGATGTTTATGTGAAGGACATACTCACAAACTGAGGATGGCTGAGCTCTGCTTACTAAAAGCAGGTCCCAGAAGAAGTTCGGCACCAGTGGATGAGTTTCCCTGTGATCATGGAAGTCCCAGCAAATGTAGGCAAGGCTTCTTCTGAGCACAGGAAAATCCTGCCCATCGTGGAAGGGGATCCCAAAGGCCTAGCACTGACCTTCCAGTTTGCTGTCCTTCATGCTTCCAGGAGATGGGTTCTTACTTGTGACTCTCCCCCCAACACCTGCTTCTGGGGAATTAATTATGACTGTCACCTTTATGCACACCTGTTCTCACTTCTTAGGGCATGAAGAGGCCCTTGCAAGCCAAGCAATCTGCTCATGTCTACCCCAACAGAAAGGAGGGAGTGAAAGCCTAGTGGGAATGTAACCTGCTGCTGCTTCCTTCTCTCACCTTGATCACTGGGAGGAGGGACGCACACCTATTTTCCCCACCTGCCATCTGGTCTTGTTTCTGGGGTTTGGGGATAGGTTTTCCCACCCCAACTGTTCAGGGCAAAGAGCAGTTAAGTGAGAAATGTCACATGGAGCCACACAAGACTTAAAAACTATGCAATGGGCCAAAATGGAACATGGAATCCCCTCCCCTCCACCTGTCCTCTCAATATTGCTGATTTTTGGATCCAGACTTCATGACTTGGGTCCCACCTGTGCTTTAAAACTATTTAACCTCCCTTCTTTCTTCCTTTGACACATGGAAATCTGATACCTTCAACTTGATAAGCTGCTGTAGCAGCACCCCAAGCAAATCCGCTGGGGAAAGGAATGTCTTCTGGGTGCCAGCCACAAGGGGCAGGAGCAAAGGAGGCAGTAGCAGCTGAAGCCATGTGGCTGGTGGATCTGGGCCTCCTGTGGGGCTGACACCGCGCTTCCTGGACGGACTGCTCTTCCACTTGTCATACGCAGATTCTGTATCAAATACAAACACAGAAACATAAACCCTGAGCAGCTTCACTCTCTGAAGGACAAATTGGTGCAACCATATCTTGCATGTCTCATGATCTGAACACAGAGGCTTAGCTCAGCCTTCCACGCACACTGAAAGGGGAGGGGCAGCAGTGCAGCAAGCTACAAGGGCCTCGCGTACAAGTAGCTCCTTCCTGTGCAAGATACTGGGCTGTCCAGATCAGGCCGCTGTCCTTCCCTGCCCATGTATGTTGCCAGACTACCCATATCTAGAGCTACTTACTCAGAATAAGGTGCTGAGCCACCCAGACAGAAGCTCCTCCCACTTTCCTGTAAGTCACTCAAACCTGGACCCCACTCTTTTTCTGGCACTGAGTCCCTGCCACGTCCCCACTCCGTACCTGGCCCATATCTGGTCTGGTCTGATCATATTGCAGCACATGGTAAGGGCCGTTGCCCCCAGTGTGTGGAATTGTAACTATCAGGCTTGTGACTGCTGCATGTTTCCTCTATTTATCTAGGGTTAGGTATTCACTGCACCTGGTCAAAGAGAGTCTGAGGAGGCCCTCTATAGACGGACACTCAAAACTGCTGCCCTCTGCCTCTTTTTGCACCCCAGAGAGGCTCCCTTACTCTTAGACTGAAAGTATAAGCCCCTAGCTAACTGAAATGTGTGAAACTTCAGACATGGCACACTAGATGGCACTATTGCAATTTATTTTTCAGGCACTGCAAGAGCTGTTTTCCCTCTCTGGATTACAGTAAACACATATTGATTTACGCTAAGGTCAGTATCCCCATTTATCGGACCACTGGGCTACATACGCCTTCTAGAAATTCAGATGCTAGCCATGACACCCAACTCTTTGTATTTCTGTCTTGTGTTGCATTATTTGCCTTTGCTTGAACCCTTTGATTTATAAACCTTTCCAGGTGGGGATCTGTTACAAACAGATCTACCACTGCAATGCATCATACACAATAATAATAATTTATATAGCATTGTAAATCAGACAAAAAATTGACATTGCCTGAAAAGCATGTATGCAGTTATGTGCAATCTCTTACCAAAACTGTTTTTTTTGTTGGTGTTTTTTTTTTTTAAAAGAAACAAGCAACTTTTATCAGAAAAAAGGTCAGAATAAAGTTGTAGAACAGTTGAATTAATTCCAAAAGTGCACATTATAGAGCCAGACTGTGCTGATACAATATAAAATAAATCGTTTCACAACAGGAGCGCATTTCCTCAAATATCTCTCAAAGTTTTGCTCACTCTTTAGAGGTAATATCCCTGGAATACAAAGGAACTAAGGGGGACTGAGGCAGTTCATACAAACATGTTCCAAAAGCATGTGCTGATGTATGGTATTGTCAAACATCCATTCTCCTTTACACATTTTATATAAATGGGGGGGAAATGATGCAATGTATTAGCAACTCTTCCCGTGGAAGCAGCCTTCTTGGAAAGGTACTGATAAAATTGTTAAAGTGTTAATTTAAGTTCACAGCAGTTAATACCAGATAGCACCTTGCAACATCCAAGAAGGTGAGCATTAGGTATTAGCTATGAAACTCACCATGGGACATAATAAATCTTGATTAATGGGTGTGCATGAATCAGAATAACTATGTATAATTTTACAACAGTCAACATTACACTAGGTGCCTCACAAAGATTGTAGATTGCACAAAGTCCCTGCCCAGTAGAACACACAATTCAATTTCATACGTGACATAATATGTGGGGAACTAAACAATGGGAGTGGGGAAATGGCAGACAGTTGTCACTGGAGTAAGAATATGCAGCTCTGTAAAACATACAAAATAGGTTATTTAAGGGCAGGTCTACACTAACCCCCCAAGTCGAACTAAGGTACGCAACTTCAGCTACGTTATTTCAGCTACATGAATAACATAGCTGAAGTTCGAAGTACCTTAGTTCGAACTTACCTCGGTCCACACGCGGCAGGCAGGCTCCCCCGTCGACTCCGCGGTACTCCTCTCGCCGAGCAGGAGTACCGCAGTCGACGACGAGCACTTCCGGGTTCGACTTATCGCGTCCAGACAAGACGCGATAAGTCGAACCCAGAAGTTCGATCGCTCGCCGCCGAACTACCGGGTAAGTGTAGACCTACCCTAAGAAAGAATCACTATTGACTCTTGTGGGTGTTGTGGAAGAGGTGGGTCTTAAGGAAGGATCTGAACCCATGGAGGGCAGTGATATGGGGAACCAGTTTAAGGAAGGTATCCTAGGTACAACAGGCAGCATGGAAAGGGGCCTGGACATAGCTGTGGTAGAAGAGGACAGACAGGCCACTAAATCTGCCATCATTAATCAATCAGAGTGGGTGTGGTATGATGAAATAACAGACTAGGTCTGAAAAGTAGGCAGAGACAGAAAGATGCAGGACTTGGAGACAGTCTCTTCTTGCCCCCATGCTATTTAGTAGCAAACTGTTCCAGCCTCACTCCCAGCTTTTTCTTTCCCCACTCTAGCAAACCCAATCCAATGCGAAATCCAATATTCCAGTGTTTTGTCTGGAGCCTAATACAAATCTAGAGCTGAATCTAACTAGTAACTTTGCACATCCATACCCAAATTCACATTGGTTCCAGCCCAGGCTCCTTTTTGTTTTTAAACATGCAGTGGCACAGACCACAGTTCAGCTGGATGGACTTGAACCAGGCTTTCCCAGAACAAGACTGAGCTGGTCCTTACTTCGATGTACCCAGATAGGTATTTTTCTTATTGAGTCAGTGAGGCCTGAAAGTAATTAATTCAAGGGCTAGTCACCAACCCAATCAAGTATGTATGTATCTCACTAGGGCTTGGTCTATACTCACAATTTATGTCGGTATAACTACTTTGCTCAGGGGTGTGGAAAATATACAGCTCTGAGCAATGCATTTATACGGACCTAAATCCCAGTGTAGACAGTGCTATGTCAATGGGAGGGCTTCTCCTGTCAACATAATGACCACCTGTCAGGAAGGTGGAGTACCTACCCCAATGGGAGAAGCCCTCCCTTTGGCATAGGTTGAGTCTTCACTCAAGTGCTACAGTGGTGCAGCTGCATCAGTGCACCTACGCCGCTGAAGCCTTTTAGGTGTAGACAAGCTCTATGATGAAGGCAGCAGAGTTTTGCTTTGGTATTTTGTCTGTACGGTTGGGCTGAACTGGTTATTATAAACAAAGATGTATCCTTAAAATGAACTATCCCTGATTGGATCTGCCTTTTCTAATCCCAGATTATTGTTATTTAAAAACATTAATTCTCATCATGACACAATTAGACAGACACTTCACTATGCTGGTATGGAAATGCAAGTTTCTTCTCCTCAACTCTCCAGTCCAAAAACAGAACAGACCCAGAGTTGCTTATGAAGTAAGACTTTATTACTGAAACTGCTGAATATGGACATTCACAGATCCTGAGGCTTGTCTGAAAAGTGGAAATTGCTATTCAAGTTTAATTACTATCCCTGGTAAAATAATAGAACAGATTTTGAGAAAACAAAGTTACTAAATAACTTCAGGACTTCCAGTCAAACAATTGTATTCTGCATAAATTAATGAATGGCAAGCAGGAGCTAAACTGTAATGTATCCGAATTTTAGTAAATTTTATGACATAGCTGTCACACTGTCTGGAGAGGCCCACGACTGTGAGTGCCAATCTCAGGGCAGACTGTCAAAAACAGGACAAACACCCCAAACTGGTGGTGTGTTCTATAATTAGATATCACCAAACCAGTAACAGATGTGCACTCCTGGATCATTATACCTGTCTTACCATGGAAGTCTCAGACAGTCCCTTTAGGCTCTCCAGTCTATCTTGCTACCCAGACAAACTGGACTTAGTGATAAATGGTCACTCACACCTAAAATCACACAATATTCAGGTTGTTTCCAGTCCCAAGAGACCAGTCACATACCCCAGATCAATTACCCTTTATCTTACACCAAAGACAACGCCTGTAGCCAATTCAGTAATAAACTATTGAAAGGTGTATTAACTAGTAAAAAGAAATAGAGAGTTATTTACAGGTTAAAGCAAGCAAACATATACACACAAATGAGTTATTACCTAATCCTAAGAGTGACAGAGTTGTAATGATCCGTCAATTCAAAGTTCAGGGCAGATCCAGACTTAACTCCTGGGGATCTCTGACTCAGTTTAGAGTCTCTAGTCCTATCAGAGTTCAAAACAGCAAAGAAAGATGGAAAATTTTCCTGTGTCTTTGTTTTATTTCCTTCATTAAGCTTTCAAGTTCACAGAATGAGCTTCCTTGAACGCAACATTTCCAAGGTGCAATAGGGCCATTAACCAATCCTTTGTATTGCAATATTCCTTGATGGCCTCTTTTGATTTTGATAATCCTTGTGAATGGGCAGGGGGAATGATTCCAGTGCCTGGGGTCACAAGTTCGGAGCAAACATTTTCAAAGTTATAAAGCAAAATTTACATATTTTCTTATAGCATGGAATACCGACATTACAAGTGAAATTAATGTATGCAGCAACTTACAAGCACTTCCTAGAGTCTAAGCACTAAATACATTCTTATAAGACTAATACCTACTTTAAGCAAAATTAAAATACAGGTGAACTGGTCTGGTCTTCAGCTATGAGTTTGTTAGTTCTTAGCTAATGTCTGCAGCCTGGGCAAGAGCTGGCATCTGGCCTGTCAGCATCACAATAGTGTTTGAAAATCCTGTTCTCAAAACTTAATTCAAATTGGTTTGAAGATAAGTCATGTTGACTGCAGTGAAGAGTAATAATAAACAATAACTTTGAGGGGAGTTGTTCAGTGCAGTATGCAGATTGGAATTACTTCTAATCCTGGTTAATAGCTTCAATAATGAGCTAGAAGAGGGAGTAAATGGTACATTAATGAAATCTGCAGATATATTAAAATGGGAGGAGCTGAGCACACTACTGAAG